TAATTCATTAGAACACCTTGGTACTGTCACAGAAATAAACAGATAAACAACAGTCCAAGAAAACATTAACTAAGAATGTGGGTAAATGCCTACAGATGGATGTTATAGCGTAACTTTACACCTTACTGGAGAAGGGAGGTGGTATTTGACAGATGCTAGTGATTAATTTATTAGCCTTATAAAAGTAAATAAAATTAGTTCCCTACCCCACACCATATAAAAAATTAGTGTAGGGTAATTCAGAAGGTACATGTGAAAGACAAAATCAATAAAGATTTTAGGAAATAGTATACAGTCATCCCTCCATAACCATGGGGCACTGGTTATAGGACATACCCCTCCCACAACCATGCTCAAAACCCACAGATGCTCAAGTCCCTTATATAAAATGGAATTTTATTTGCATATATTCTATACACATCCTCCCATATATTTTAAGTCATCTCTAGATTACGTATAGTACTTAATATAGGTGTGTATATAATTTATGCACATCTTCCCATATACTTTAAGTCACCTCTAGATTACTCATAGAATTTAACATTATGGGCTCATGCCTGTAATCCCAGCACTTTGGGAGGTCGAGGTGGGTGGATCATCTGAGGTCAGGAGTTTGAGACCAGTCTGGCCAACATGATGAAATCCTGTCTCTACTAAAAATACAAAAATTAGCTGAGTGTGGTGGTGGGAGCCCGTAATCCCAGGTACTCAGGAGGCTGAGGCAGGAGAATTGCTTGAACCCAGGAGGCAGAGGTTGTAGTGAGCCAAGGTCGCATCATTGCACTCCAGCTTGGGCGACAAGAGTGAAACTCCATCTCAAAAAAATGGGATGGCATCCTGTCCAGGACTTGTTCCTGCCTTGTGCCCTGAGGCTGCCAGAATAGGCTTTGGCCACCCATGACCCTAAACTGGAATAAGGGGATTGGAAAATGAATAAATACAAATTATTATGAAACAAAAATTCATAAAATATATAATCAGCACAGAAATGTACAATAAAGGATGCACTCAGTGAGCCCCATCATGTTTATTATTGTTTGTTTCTGAACTAGTAGGAGGTGGTAGGAGGTGCTCTTTACAATGTTTGCTTTGCAAACATTTGTTCCTTAAGTTAACCAACCACTAATACAAGCACCATCATATGCTGATTCACCAAAAACTGGGTAAATAATTATCTTATTTGTTTCCATTAATAATGTGAATACTATGTAAATAGTTGTCATATTGTATTGTTTAGGGAATAATGACAAGAAAAAGAAGTCTGTGTATGTTCAGAACAAATGCAATTATCTTGAACTCCCGACCTCAGGCAATCCGCCCGCCTTGGCGTCCAAAGTGCTTGGATTACAGGCGTGAGCCACTATGCCCCACACAAATGCAATTATCAAAATTTTTTTCCAAATATTTTTGATCCATGGTTGGTTGAATCTGCAGATGCGGAACCCATGGATACAGAGGGCCAACTGTACTTGCTCTTCCTGATCTCAGCCCAGAAAATTTTTCCTAAATAAAATGGGGGGCAAAATGTAAACCATAAAGGAAAAGACTGATACATTTATTATTGATCTATATTAAAATCAATTAACTTCTGCATATATAAAGATTTTATGAAGACATAAAGACATGAATGAGAAGTTATTTGCACCATCTATAACTGGTAAGTGTATTGTTTTCAACATTTAGAGAACATCTACAATTTAATAAGAAAAAAACCAATAGCAAGTGGGTAATAGATTTAATGTAATAGGCATTTCACAAAAGAAAAATTTTAAATACCCGATAAACACGAAAAAATGTTCAACTAATTATTAATAAAGAAATGCAAATTAAAGACAAAATTAAGTTCACATTATATCCTCCATACTGACAAGATTAAAAGTCTGATAAATCAAGTGTTGGCCAGATGTGAGGTGACTACAACTTTAATTAACCAGTAACAGAAATGTAAATGGATGAAATGACATTCTTTCCTTAGTATCAATGGGGCTTTGATTCTAGGACATTCCCTCACCCCACAGATACCAAAACCCGAGCATATTCAAGGCCTACCGTTGGCATGAGACTGATGATATGAAAAAAAGTCAGCCCTCTGTATAAGCAGGTTTCACATCCCTCATATTTTTTTTTTGAGACAGATATAAAATGGCCCATTTATAAAAACATACATTCAAGAATTTTTAACGTATCATTGTTCATTGTGGCAAAAAAAAAATTAAACAACATAAATGCCTAAAAACAAAGCAGAAAATTTCTAAATCACAGAATAGAGAGCTGTTCCAATTGAGGTGAAGGTTTTATAAAGTACTCAAGACAGACAGAAGTGAGGTGAAACAAAGTATGTATATCCCATTTTTATTAAAAATAAAAAAAAACCCTCAAAATCCTGACACACATATATTTGTATCTGTTTATGTATATAATGATTTTATGGCCATTGAAAAAACCACAGAAGCCTACCTACAAAGCTGTTGACATGGGTTATGAGTAGGAACAGGCACAATGATATGGGAAAGTAAGGCCAAGCCAACAGAAAAGCCAAAAGGTTAGTCTTAAAAAATCATATATGGGCCAGGCACGGTGGCTCATTCTTGTAATCCTAGCACTTTGGGGAGGCCAAGGTGGGCAGATCAACTTGAGACCAGGAGTTTGAGACCAGCTTGGTCAATGTGGTGAAATCCCATTTCTACTAAAATGACAAAAAATTAGCTGGGTGTGGTGGCAGGCCTATAGTCCCAGCTACTCGGGAGGCTGGGGCACAGGAATTGCTTGAGCCCAGGAGGTGGAGGCTACAGTGAGCTTAGATTGCACCTCTACACTCCAACCTGGGCAACAGAGCAAGACTCTGGGTCTCAACAACAACAACAAAAAAATCATGTATAATCAGATTCATGCAATTTACATAGATGCATTACTGGAAATAGTTGATGCCATGAAGATCCAAATACAGACCTATGGGATAAAATTTTTAAAGCTATTTTATGGCTTATAACATTTTATAACAGGGTTTTTTATATGCTGTTGACAGCAGAATTTATTTTATAAAAATGGCTGCAACAGTATCTTCCATCCATGTGCTTTTCTATAATGTGACCTTCCCCCTCCCTCCTCCTAAGATGTGGGGTCTATAGTTTCTGAATCTGGGCAGAAGTTAAATTATAGTACAGCAGGTCCTCTAATAACGTTTCATTCAACGTCATTTCACGTAGCCCTGATGACAGAAAAAATGGCTGGGTGCTGTGGCTCACGCCTGTAATCCCAAAACTTTCAGAGGCCAAGACGGGTGGATCACTTGAGGTCAAGAGTTCGAGAACAGCCTAGCCAATACAGTAAAACCCTGTCTCTACCAAAAATACAAAAAACTAGCTAGGCATGGTGATCTGTGCCTGTAGTCCCAGTGACTCAGGAGACTGATGCAGGAGAATCGCTTGAATTGTGAGGCGGAATCACTTGCAGTGAGCCTAGATCCTGCCACTGCACCCAAGCGTGGGTGACAGAGCAAGGCTCCATCTCAAGAAAACAGAGAAAAAATATAAGACTCCCAGCCAGGGCTATTGTTTATGTGTAGTTTTGTATATTCTCTCCATGTCTACATGAGTTTAGGTGTTCCAGATTCCTCCCACATCCCAAAGATGTGCACATTAGGTTAATTAACATGTCTAAATTGTCCCAGTCTGCGTGAGCATAGGGGTGTGTGTGTGAATGCACGCTGCAGTGGGATGGCATCCTGTCTAGGACTGATTCCTGCCTTGTGCCCTGAGGCTGCCAGAATAGGCTTTGGCCACCCATGACCCTAAACTGGAATAAGTGGATTGGAAAATGAATGAATACAAATTATTATGAAACAAAAATTCGTAAAATATATAATCAGCACAGAAATATAATAAATGATGCACTCAGTGAGCCCATCATGTTTACTATTGTTTCTGAACTAGTAGGAGGTGGTAGGAGGCGCTCTTTACAATGTTTGCTTTGCAAACATTTGTTCCTTAAGTTAACCAACCACTACTACAAGCACCATCACATGCTGATTCACCAAAAACTGGGTAAATAATTATCTTATTTGTTTCCATTAATCTTTCTTATACATATATATAGCTCACATTTATTTGAATGTTTAACATTAGAAATGTTGTAGATCTTTTTTAGAAGTTTAATGGTGTTTTTGTGACTAGAAATATGCCATAGAAACTCAACTCTTATTTATATCAATTTAAGCTTATAGCAAAATTGGTTCATTACATGTCATTTCACCTAAAGTCACAATTTCCAAGAACCTATCAACAACAGTTAGTAAGGACTTATTACACAGCCATACAATAAAATACTGAGTAGCAACTGAAAAGGGTACAACAGGTCTGTCTAATCCACTGACACAGAAAGATGTCTATGCAGTTGAATGAAAAAAGCAAGAACAGTATCCATGATTCCTACATACATATAGAAATCTCCATATACCATGTATAGATATATGCACTCACAGAAAAAAGTCTGGAAAGATATATATATATATATATATATATATGTTAAACTTTTAAAACTGGTTATCTTTGGAGAATGGTAATGACAAAGGCTTTTACTTTCCATTTTATTCATTTGTGTACTGTAAAATTGAATGTATTACTTTTATAATCATAAAAAAACAAATTATTTCTAAAAGTCCTATAACACAAAAAGAATTTTAAAAGAAAAAGAAGACCTTAAACAAAGTAGAAACCTTTAATAGTGGTAAGTTAAGTATAATCTTCCATACTGACACAAAGTATGGCTATATTTAAATATAATAACTATGAGAATAAAATATGTATTGAAAAATAAAGAGTAAGATTCTTGCAATTCAGATTAACCTGCTAAAAGAATAGTATGTGATGAGATCTAGGCTAAATCAAATTAAACCATCACATAAATCAGCCCTAACTAAGCACAATGGTTAAATACCATATCTAGACTAACATTCATTTTCTATCTAAAGACATGATTGTTTTTTCTCAAATGGTACTTACAGTTCTCTACAATTTCATCAAAAACTGCACCACTTTTCTGTTCAAACTGGAAAAGCAAAAAAGGAGAGAGAAAAGTAACATTACCAACATATCTACTATCATATATACTTTTGATATCCCTCCCTACTTCCCAAGGAACTGTAATTTTCAACCCAAATTACCTAAGTGCACAATATAAACAAAAACACTGCCAAACAGAGTAAATAAAATTTAGGATGAACAAAAGCAGTTCTCAGGCCAAAGTCCCAAACCAAAAGCTAGGAGATAAATCACATCCTCTCACTATAAATAATTACTTATTTTTTTTAATCATTCATGTCACAAAAAAGAGATGATCATATATATTAGTAATAACAATAAACACAGCTAACACTTCATAAGAACTTACTAACACTGAGAACTGACTATGTAAAACTTCCTATCAAAACTAACAGAGCAATTAGCAGCTTTTGCTCTTAGGCTAGAGCTAGAAACATGCTACTCTTAAATTCAAAGTGAGGCCTGTGACAGGGATGGTTCCTACTGAGTATGTTAGTGCCTAAGGCAGAAGTAGAGCCATGTCAGAGATAATTTCAGATCTTTAAAACAGGCACATGGGGAAAGAAAGCAAAGCACCAGTAACTCCACCAAGGAACTAAGAGAAAATGGCACACTTCACTTTGAGTCTTTGAAGGCCCCCTTACTTTGGCAACTTAGTATTCCAGGTTCCTGCTTCCCTGCTTGTTACTCAACAATGAGACAAAACCACAAGAAATGCTTCTTCTTGATAAACCCTGCCCACTATAATAACCCAGAATCAGCCACCCTATTCAAGGGAGAGACTTTTAAGGAAAAAAGAACTACCTAGCTACTTACATAACCGTAGAGGAAACACAATGGCCAGCTATAGTAATCAGCAGTATCTGATATTCATAAACATGAACAGAAAATAAAGGATCCCAGGTTTCTAAAAGAAAACTATGTGAAAGAGAAAGTTCAAGGTAAACAAACAGAATCACCACTCCAGAAGGAAACAAATAACTTATAAAAAAGCAACTTCTAAGAAGAATTTTAAGAGATACATGACAGGTTACAGGTGTAAACAAACAAACAGAAAAGTAAGCAAAAGAGGGCACTGAGGAGACAGAAAATATCTGAAAACAAGAAAATGACTGCCAAAATGAAAATGTCACTGGGCAGGCTAATGACAAAATTCTTTATCAATTTCTAAATGAATAAATGAAACAAAAAGACAAAAAGTTGGAAAAGATAATTTATGTGACACGAAGGATTAAAGTACCAGGTCTAACAGCAATATCAAATGTACCCCCAAAGAAGAGAATAATAGTGAAGCGGAATAACAGAAGAAAATTTCCCTGAAGATATAAATACCATATCTGAGATTGAACGGGCCCACCAAATACCAAAAAAATAAGGAAAAAAAAGATACATCCTGGTAAAATATCAGAATTTCAAAAGAAAACAAAAGGAGGAATTTTTTTAATGATAGTGCAGGTAATTTAAAACACATTCAACTTGAAATTCACCTATGTAAACACTGGAAAGGAAATCAAACAAATAGTGAAGGCCACTCCAGCTACCATTCCAGTCAATGAGCTATGCTCTAGAATGAAAGGGAAGTGGGAAGTGAAAAATGTCACTCTGTAAGCCAAAGAATGAAAGCATCTGCCTACACTGAGAGGAATCCCATTGTTTAAAAACACGGTTTGTTTTTGTACAATACTGTTCCTAGACACTTTCCCCAATGCTCAACCAAAGAAATGACAGTCTTGCACACGCTTCAAGAAAAAAAAAAAAAATGGCCTGGCGCGGTGGCTCAAGCCTGTAATCCCAGCACTTTGGGAGGCCGAGGCGGGTGGATCACGAGGTCAAGAGATC